TTTCAGCAGCTGAGGACTCGCTAGAGACAAACCGCCTTTTAATTCCCAGCGCCAGAGGTGAGAGAGAGGGAGGCCCCTGGGACAGCTACCAATCAACCATCCATCACACTGACCGACCCCCACAACCGCATCCTGGCTCGCAGCCCCCTCCAGCCCTACCCCAGCCATGCTGCCTCAGCCCTGGGGAGTCATGTACCCCTTTGGTGGAAGGATACGGGAGGGGGGGGTTCGCAAATCGGAATGCTTGAGATGCCTGTTCACCTCTTCTCCCTTCTCCTACCTTTCAAGTCTAATGGCACTTTGGGCCAAAAGTCTGTCTGCCTGCCTGCCTGTGTGTGCGGTGGACTGGGTGGATTGTGGTGCGGTGTAGAAAACATGCTGAGATGGCTTGGCCCCTCCAGGCTAGTTCTGGCAGTGAGAATGAAGGTCTGTGCAGGGGAAGTGGAGGTGTGCCACTCATTGCAATGTCTCCAGGGAGACGTGTTTTGAGTGGAGCTCATTTCAAAGTGTGTACGTTCGTGTCTCTCAGGTCCTTTTGTCTGTTTACATTTATGCCTTTTCATTCTGTGTATCTTCTGCTTTGCATAAGTTGTAATACTTTTAATATTATTTTAGTATTTAATATTCAATTTTGTTATTAAGAATATTAATATTTAAAATAATATCATTTAGAACATTCAGTGTATTTTCAGAATGAAAAAAAAGTTTTGAAATATACGGTCTTAAAAATTAAGGTTCCAGTGTCAGAAGAACGGTTTTGGTCCCCAAAGTACCAGCTTTCAGTGCACAGTTCTTAATAAAAGAACCACTTTTTCTTAGCGTGAAGAACATTTTATTAATCTGAAGAATGTTCAATGGATGTTTAAAGTTATTCATGGAACCACTGATGTCAATAAAGAACTTTTATTTTTAAGAGTATCTAGTATGTATAAAGTACATTCTGAGAAATATGTGTTTATTTTCTTTCTCTTTCTCTTCTGTGTGTGTTTTCATTCATGCTAATGGTTTGTGTGTATGTGGAAATGTCCACTAAATAAAGCATGCACAAATTAGGCCCTCTAAACACTTCTGTCTGTAAATTACACAAAGAACACTGAGGCGTTTTATCTACTATGCATGTATTCATGTCCTACTTATGCAAAACTCGAGAGATCACACTTGTATGATATCTTTGATAGACACCCAAAGCCTTTGAGACAGATATAATAAGGACATTTGCCTTTAAATGAATCACATATGGTCTGCTCTTTCAGTTTATAGAGCTTTGCAAAGCTTGTTGCATTTAACTAAGTGTAGATGCATTAAATATTTCATTTGTTCTTTCTTCTTTTATACATAATGTTATATGCCAATGTGCATTGCCAGCAAAGTTTGTAGATTTGATGCTGATCATCAAAATACTGATAATTTAAGGTAATTTTGTTGCCTGAATTGAACAGTAATAAAACAGGCTTTTTATGTGAGTTTTCTGACTCTGCCTCTTAAATTTTAATGAGTTAGGTGAATGTAAAGTTGAACATGATTAAGAAAATGAGACCGAAGTAAATACAAGAATCACTATTTTTCTTTAACTTGGGGTCTGGTGTTGAGTGATTAAGGTCTAAGTGTATCTTAAAGAGGATTAAATGAATGGCTTACCAGATGTTTAGGAGAGTGGCTAATATGTTAATATGTAATAATGTTTGATAAGTACAGTCAACTTGTGTTCATATATGCCATAATAAGTCGGTGGGGGGAGTCGTAGTAAAAGAACAGTGTTTTTTCCCCCGCTTTCATTTTTCATACATAAATGTACACATTAACTTTCACAGCGTTTCCAAACGTTGCAGTTATTCTCAGAACGCGTATTCCATTGATGCAAACCAACAGAAGCCCCATTCCCAGAGGTAACTATAGAAACAGTGCGCCATTTATACACTTTTGCTTGCGGTACATCAATTTCTTTAATTATAAATTCACATATATGGTAAATAGGCCTAGGCTATTTAAAAAAAAAAAAAAAGACGTGCACATTGCGCTTTGAAAATTAGCCTACATTTAATTAAGCAAAATTTGATTTTAATTAAGAAAAATGCTTATAAAATATCGAAGTTTGTTTATAATATCCATCCCTCCTGGAAGTCATTGTATAATTCACACACTGAGTCACTGCGAGCACAAATCCCTCCCGCTGTTTTCAGCACCCTGGACAGTTCCTGCATCTGCACAGGTGCCTCTGCGCGTTCCACTAGCGTTTGTTTGCATTGCAGACCTATGGCCCTTTCTCTAGAGAGCTTCATAGCACTGTAGCCTATTGACTAGACATAGAAGAATAGGCTCTCAATAACAGTTTCTAGTCCCAAATGTTAGCTTTCCCATGCATCAAATGATAACGCGTTGGTTCGTATTTGATGCAAGTGGGAAGGTTCTGTGTCATTTAAAAGCAGAGTTGTTCACATAGTTTTGGGTGCATATGTGTGTACGCACAAGCTGCGGGCTGATTCGCTATTTAACCAAAAAGACTCGACAAGGTTAGGCCAGCCTGTTAATGGCTCTTCTGTCAGGGCGATTGTAAACAGATGGCACCTTTAATTTTAGCATTTAGCCATTTACAAATATGCAAATGACTGGAAGTAGCCCAGGCGTGCATTTCACTCATATTTGCTTATTCGCGGAGGGTAACGTCAGGGGGGAAACTGAGGATGTCTTAAATGGGGAATCAACAAAACAATACTTAGTGAGAAAATAAATAGCGTGCATCGCGAAGGGATTAGAAATGTAAGCGAAGCCAAACTCGCTGCCGTTGTTGCCTGCCAAGAACAGCGGGGGTCCCGAAACTTACCCTTGGCTCTCCTTTTTTCCAGCATGCAGCCCACCGGCATCCCCTGACTCCAAATATTACCAAACGCTATTTAGTCACTGCTTAAGCCCTGCATGTTGTAAAAGGATTATTAATTTCAGGAGATTATAGATATATCGATTTATTAGACCCATTTCTAAAAAGTTTACAATAATAATAATAATAATTATTTTGTCCTGTTGTTTTAAATAGTCCCAGACATATATTTTATTTAGACAGAGCATTGCTTATGGCCAGGCGTGCATTTCACTCATATTTGCTTATTCGCGGAGGGCAACGTCAGGGGGGAAACTGAGGATGTCTTAAATGGGGAATCAACAAAACAATACTTAGTGAGAAAATAAATAGCGTGCATCGCGAAGGGATTAGAAATGTAAGCGAAGCCAAACTCGCTGCCGTTGTTGCCTGCCAAGAACAGCGGGGGTCCCGAAACTCACCCTTGGCTCTCCTTTTTTCCAGCATGCAGCCCACCGGCATCCCCTGACTCCAAATATTACCAAACGCTATTTAGTCACTGCTTAAGCCCTGCTTGTTGTAAAAGGATTATTAATTTCAGGAGATTATAGATATATCGATTTATTAGACCCATTTCTAAAAAGTTTACAATAATAATAATTATTATTATTTTGTTATGTTGTTTTAAATAGTCCCAGACATATATTTTATTTAGACAGAGCATTGGTTATGGTGTTTGCGTTCGCGTTCTAATCCGATACACTAACACAACTGTAAACTGCGTGCTATTGTTTACATGGAGAGAGGGAAGCAGGTAGACAGACCACGGGTGACCTGATCCGGATTTATTCCAGTGAACAAACATGCCTGTGGCTTTCAGAACCCGTGAAAACACAGCTCTCTGACAATGGGCCGCAATGATATTACCGCACAATATGTAACGCTAATGCATAAGGAAATGTGGGCAAACATATCATTGGCTAATAAAAAATCGTACGCTGATATTTGAGTTGTTTTACTTTTAATTGATAAATGAAATTATATCTTGGGAATTCCGTGTGGACATACACGCAGCAGAATAGTTACCTGTAAAAAAATCTAAAGGTTTAAATTTTAACAATATATGATAGCAAATTTAAGTAATTTCCTCTAAATGATAAAAAGCTGCTAAAGTTTGTGAATTCGGTCTCTAATTCACTCGAATAAATTGGAGTGTGTGTAATGTTTGCATTTCCTCAACTAACAAAATGATTACCTGGGTAAATATTTAAAATCCCTTCGATTTGAGGCTACTTCGGTATAGCCTACTCTCTATTGATGCGAGCCGGTATCTCAATCCAGTGCATTTCCCTGTAAATAGCTTTATGCATGAGAAAAGAACGAGATCCCCCACCGCGCGCACAGATCACTCCTTCAGAATTAAGACGCAGCGATGGCTATTCTTTAGACATCATGCAAAAGACGTGCAAACTTAACTTCTATACATTTCTCTCTATTTATCGACCATTCTAACAATTAATTACCTTGTGGTTGCCACTAGATTTAAGTCTCAAATGCTGCATTAATCACACAGAAATAAATGGAGTCATTATCGTCTTAATAAAAATCATCTCAAAAGTCTATGAAGAATCGAACAGCATCTTCCAGTCCTAATGTGCGGGCCAGGATCCAAGTCTGGTGATGCCCAAAACGCAAGCCTTCTAACTAAATACACATTTTCTGATTTTACTGATCGAGTCCAAATTCGGTAGGAACAAAAAATAAAAATAAATAGCACGTCGAAGAAATAATTAGCTTTACCACCCTCAGCCTTTATAGACGTTTTACCAAAACCAAGGTAGAACTTTGGAAGCAATCTGAGAGTACCAATATTTAAAACCGTTGCCATGGCAACTTGTCCGCTATTGGCCACGGCGGCGTAAGCACGAGGAAAACGTCATCAAATCTGAATGCGGATGCGAGAGGCTCCCGCGAACTGGAACAGAGTGATGCAAAAAGTGTCGGTGAGGTGAGTGGACACACGCAGGTGGATCAAGAGCACAAAACCAAACCAGGAGGAAAACTTGGAGAAGCCTTTTTGTTAGCAAACTCTGCAACGAATAGATTTATTTTCTGATTCCGTGGATTTCTGGATGCCGACATGTATAATGCATAACAATCACGTCCGGGGTGTTTAGCTCTAGGCGTGGTGGAGACTCGTTCTCAAGACGGAACATTTGCTCTGCTGTCGCCTCCCTCTCCAAGAAGCCAAGACGTTGCTCCGCACCGATTCGTGTGGCCCCAATCCGAGGCGCGGTGCCCGTTTGGGAAGGTCGGCTCTCGGTCCCCTCCAGGGCGGAATGATGGTTCACTGCGCGGGGTGCGAGAGGCCCATTCTCGATCGGTTCCTCTTGAACGTTCTCGACCGCGCATGGCACGCCAAGTGTGTCCAGTGCTGCGAGTGTAATTGCAACCTGACCGAAAAATGTTTCTCCAGGGATGGAAAGCTCTATTGCAAAATGGACTTTTTCAGGTAAGAAGCTGCTTGCGTTTGGGCTGCCTCACCTCGTCAAACTTCTGGACTAATCCTCATTTGAAGAAAGTGTCATGTAGGATTTACCTACCCTTGTTTTCCTCTTATGTGGATGAGGCTCATGTTGTGGATTAACCTGCCTAAAATGTGTAATGTACTGTTAAACCTTTGATCCTCCGTCGTTCATTAATAGCTTTTGATTGATGAGCCATTCATTGCTTATTGTATTCACACGCTTTCGGCGTGAGGATTCCTCTTGAAGACCTTTGTGCACATGATTGTGGGAAAAAATATCTGTTAGTAAAGCAATTGTTTGTTACACCCGAAAACACGCTATTATTTTGTTCATTATTATTACGCATTTGAATCCTGCGTTGTAGGCCATATATTGGATAACTATTATAACTATTGAACAAAACGGACTGCTGTGTTTTTTTCCACATTTATCCAGAAATATAAACGAAAATTCCAGCGAAAGGGATTTCTTTTTAACACACAGGAAATATATCATTTAAATCCAGTTAACCTCTAAACTGATAGCTAAAACAGCCGAGATCATTTAAATGTGTTGTTAATAATTCAGAAACGATTTAATAAAATGAGCGTTTAAAAATAACTTTATTAGTCTCGGTGAAATATTCTAAACCGCAGCCTAGCTAAATTCCTAAACAAAAATGAATTTCTTTAAATAAAAAAAATACATCAATAAAATATGCACTACATTCCTACAAGATTAGAACCCAAACAAGACTAGTTGTTTCTAAACACCTGTGTTGCGTACCTGTAATGGTATTGTAGTCTCAGAACAGGCCGCTTATTTTCTTATATTTGTGGTTAAAATCGCTAAATGTGTTCTGTCAGGTTTTCTTCTAGTTTACATTTCTCTGAGCTATTTAATGTCATCCAGTGTTTAAGCTTTCATATGTGCCATTGTTATCCCAAACGGCCTTGACCATCACGTTCTATGGGGCCCATCCAGCTCTGCGCTTGAATGTGGAGCCATTAGTGGGGCGAAACAGTAATCACCCGTAATGCGTCCATTTGTTGTGTAAGTAGTGTTATGGCCTTTCACTGGGAGAGATGCATTTGAAAAGCGCGAGAGCGACTCGATACCATAACAAATGGGGGAAGATTTAGTACATTAGTGTTAAAATAAACCCGAGGGGAGAAACAGAAGGGAGCAGTGCGCTTGACGTGCCTCACAACCAAGACCGGCCTGTATACCTGGTCTTTCTCGTCTCGTTGTCATTGAAATATGAATTGAACAAACTACACGACCTGTATTATTTCTCCCTCTACTTCGAGGAAGAAACTGTAGGCGCAGATTAACAAATCAGAAAAAGAACAACAACCTGCAATTGGCGGATTAGCTCTCAGTTCAGAGGATGAATGGATACATGTAAGAAAATCAGGTTTTGTATTTGTAGATGTGTATATAAATACAAAAATCTAGTTCCATTTTTATTTTAACGACAACTCACACTCATGCTAAGATATTAATATTACAGGTGAACTGACTTGCGTTTGTGTTTAACACCTAAAATTAGGTTTTGTTATCTTGCCTAATCTCACAATATCACTGACTTTTTCATGAGCCTACTGCCAAATTCCTTCAGGATTATGGCACGGTTTATTAAAATGCTAATGCCCGTTATAAATATTAAAGATATTTTATTTTTTCCATATAAATGATTTACATTTTTGAAAAATTATAGCCTACATTATTATCTCATAATAATATACTTTTCAAATCACTGTCAGCTGACACAGTGAGTGAAAATCGTGTGCGTGCTCCACCAGTATTGCAGTCATTTTAGTGACATGATAAGATAATATTCAAGATATACAGAATGGACAATTTACTTATTGCATGCACATATTTACACGCAGGATATACAAGCACTTGGAATGGAAAATAAATTGCAGAATGCTTTTTGGTATTCAGTATGGTCCTTTACAGTCGCCGGTTGAGTGACTGTAAAATAAACAATTATTGGCACAGTATGTAGTAGCTACTGGAGTGCAATAACATCAATGTTCATGACGTAACATCTGTGTTGACCATTAGGCTTAACATGCTGCGGTATTGTTATTTTTATTTTGTTTTATATAACTGTATAAAATATTGTTCTGCATTTCATCTCTGTGTCCCTCTGCAGGCGTTTTGGTACGAAATGCGCAGGCTGCTTGCAGGGCATTTCGCCCAGCGACCTCGTGAGAAGAGCGCGCAGCAAGGTGTTCCATCTGAAATGTTTCACGTGCATGGTGTGCAACAAACAGCTGTCCACGGGCGAGGAGCTCTACGTCATCGACGAAAACAAATTTGTGTGTAAAGAGGACTACATGAGCGCGAGCGCCATCAAAGAGGTCAATTTAAATTCAGGTGAGCACGACGACTGGAGCTGTGCGTGCAAGAATTCTGTGTGTGTGTACTGGTTTATATATCCTGGTGGGGACTTAAACCCGACTACACACAGACTCATGGGGACTCGTGTCACGGTGGGGACCTAAATTGTGGTCCCCACGGGTAAAAAAGCTTATAAATCATACAGAATGAATTTTTTTGAAAATCTAAAAATGCAGAAAGTTTCCTGTGAGGGGGAGGTTTAGGGGTAGGGTTGGTGTAGGGCAATAGAAAATACGGTCTGTACAGTATAAAAACCATTACGCCTATGGAGAGTCCCCACAAGGATAGCTGACCAGACGTGTGTGTGTGTGTGTGTGTGTGTGTGTGTGACAGAGAGAGAGAAGGCTTCCATCTCTCTGAAAGAGTCCGACTCATTTGTGTGAATTATGGGTCAATGACTTGGCGCTGATTTTTTTTTTTTTTACATGAATCTATTAAGTTATTTCAAAATTACATTGAAACGGCAATTCATATACAATTATTTGATCAAAATGATTCCAGTTTCGAAGTTAATTTAGATTTTTTTTGTTGTATAAAATATAAAGTAAAACCGTCAAAAATCTCTGAAAAATAAGTTTGGCTCAAGTAGTTTGTTTCTATAGTTATTGATTTTTAAAAAGCAGTGAAGAAATAATTTTTTAAAGCATGATTAATAGTTATAGCCTATCGATGTCTATATGGAATAACCAGGATGCAAGAAGCCATTTTGTTGTCATGTGATATGAAATCTATAAAATAGAGAGAACACCTTTAGACCCTCATAACTGTGTCAAGGTCATTACATTAATTTTGTTCTTTTAAATTAAATGCTTAAAACTCGAAATTCATAAAGAAGGAAACATTATTTGAAAATAACGATTAGGCTAAGTGTCCAAGAACAATATTTTAGGCTAGACGCTTTTCATTGATGGTTACACCATATGACATTATTTATTAAGTCAAATATTTTATATTTTTGTACAAAACTGTAGGCCTATATGTTTTTTTTAAAACTAACACGAATACATTTTTTAAAAACTTGGCACGTTTTAAACTAGATATTAAGGTTTCGTAAAATGCCTCTTATTAACATTCAGGAAAGCGCATCCGTTTTTCATTTAAATTAATCAATACACATTTTCATTTTTTTTTAAACATTTTAATTTGGTGTGTTTGTTTGTCGTCTACTCATTATATAGTATTGTCTCACGTGCTCTGCGTATCTTTCGAAGATGTAAATGCACATTAACAGAGCCTGTGTGTTGTATTCAAATGTAAAATCCATTCAAAGAAAACGACTAGCCCGATTCAGAGGTGTGTTGGTTCACCATTTACTTGTGTCCCCGTGTGACTGATGCTCACGAGTGTTCAGAATCACGGATTGGCTGTTTGTTTCCCAACACAAGATGACATCATTATCGCCTCCACTTGTGGGTCAGTGCTAGTCCAATTAATGTAACAGCGACTGAGTGCTTCGTCCAGTCGCTTTAAAAGGGACGTACAACACTCAGATTCATTAATGCTGCAAATGGTCCTGCCTATATGTGTGGCGTGCTATTTTTTTTTTTATTTTTTTTTACAGTAATCTTGATTTGAATGACTTGTATAAATGCATATTTGTAAGAAAAAATAAATAAATAAATAAAATAGCATATCCAGCCAAGGCCACTATAAGGATAAATCTCACCGGTTTTTAATCGATCATGCAAAAATAGTGTTACGTTTGAGTAAAATTAAGCTCGCTTTTTTTAAAAGCACAACTTATTTTAGAATTCTAGTATAAAAGTAAATGCAGGCCTTTTTTAAAATGATAGTCTATGTACGTGAATATGATTCAGTCAATCCATTTTTTTTATATTGCAAGCCGAGGACTCTTTTGGTTTAGTGTTGTCCACCTATGGAGAAGTGTCCATAACTCATTCTCCTCAGCCCATGCGTTCTTGTCAGATAAACGTCTGTAGTCGTCTCCGCGCTTTTCAGACAATGACAAGCTGTTATCAAGCACAGCAGCCTGTCCCAAGAGACAACCAGACTTAATTCCTCCGATTTTTTGCAGAAGTGATTCATGTTTAGACCCCTGTTTTTTCTTCTTTGTTTCTTTCCTTTATTTTTTTCTTTGGTCTGTCATATTAAAGCAAGAAGGCACCAATATTTGATGATCTTGCGTGAAACCCACAATCAGTTTCAGCGTAATTGTGCGTGCTTCAAACTTTTACACACAAATAATGGAATATTACAGGCCTATCCAATTAAATTAGTTTAGAACTGTATAAATGAGTGTATAGGCCTATATTGATTTATTTAGCGCCCATTAATATATTCACAAAACACATTATAAGAAAGATGTGACAATGCACATTTGTATTATTACTTCGAGCTTCTATTTTTTTTTTTACAGTAATCTTGATTTGAATGACTTGTATAAATGCATATTTGTAAGAAAAAATAAATAAATAAATAAAATAGCATATCCAGCCAAGGCCACTATAAGGATAAATCTCACCGGTTTTTAATCGATCATGCAAAAATAGTGTTACGTTTGAGTAAAATTAAGCTCGCTTTTTTTAAAAGCACAACTTATTTGAGAATTCTAGTATAAAAGTAAATGCAGGCCTTTTTTAAAATGATAGTCTATGTACGTGAATATGATTCAGTCAATCCATTTTTTATATTGCAAGCCGAGGACTCTTTTGGTTTAGTGTTGTCCACCTATGGAGAAGTGTCCATAACTCATTCTCCTCAGCCCATGCGTTCTTGTCAGATAAACGTCTGTAGTCGTCTCCGCGCTTTTCAGACAATGACAAGCTGTTATCAAGCACAGCAGCCTGTCCCAAGAGACAACCAGACTTAATTCCTCCGATTTTTTGCAGAAGTGATTCATGTTTAGACCCCTGTTTTTTCTTCTTTGTTTCTTTCCTTTATTTTTTTCTTTGGTCTGTCATATTAAAGCAAGAAGGCACCAATATTTGATGATCTTGCGTGAAACCCACAATCAGTTTCAGCGTAATTGTGCGTGCTTCAAACTTTTACACACAAATAATGGAATATTACAGGCCTATCCAATTAAATTAGTTTAGAACTGTATAAATGAGTGTATAGGCCTATATTGATTTATTTAGCGCCCATTAATATATTCACAAAACACATTATAAGAAAGATGTGACAATGCACATTTGTATTATTACTTCGAGCTTCTATTGTTAGGCCTATCTCAAGAGGATGGTGATCGTATATTACAGTGAACACCAACAATCTTTTGCAATGAGTCTAATGTGTTCCTCGTTGGTCCTTCATCATACTTCAGTGTCATCATGCACGGACCGGAGTTTATCGCCTGATCCGATTCAGGACGACACGAAGGAGACGGACAATTCCACCTCCTCAGATAAGGACACTAACAACAACGAGAACGAGGAGCAAAACTCGGGCACGAAGCGGCGGGGCCCGCGCACCACCATCAAGGCCAAACAGCTCGAGACTCTGAAAGCCGCGTTCGTGGCGACGCCGAAGCCCACGCGACACATCCGCGAGCAGCTCGCGCAGGAGACAGGCCTCAACATGCGAGTCATACAGGTAAGAATACATTTGGATGTTTTCAGTTATTTAGGCCATTTTATATCTACGTTTCTTTCCGATTTTAAACATTCTATCAGATAATGCAAGCATTCACCTCAAACCAAATTAAATAGGCGAATATATTTAGGATATCGCTACGTGCTTTTTTTTTTGGTTATTTATTTATTTATTTTACACAGTTACAGAGTACAACCACTACTGTCATAGAGATCAGTCACGTGTTTATTAGAGTTACATTTATATGCTGATAGGCTATTTCGCCAAAGTTGTAATAAATCAGTTGTAAAAGCTTGGTTTGACAAGGTTCACATTTGAAGATCATGCCCTAACACACAAACCTTACAAAATATAAAGTGAAAAAGGAGACACATTTAAATTGTTCAGGAAGTTCATCTAAAGGAATTGTACACCAGTTACTAATAGTAGGCCTATAATATAACAGGTAATGGGCAAGTATATATATATATATATATATATATATATATATATATATATATACACACACATACATACATACATACATACACACACACACACACATACACATACACATACACACATACATACATACACACACACACACACATACATACACACACACACACACATACACATACACATACACATACATACATACATACATACATGGTTTGTCATATTTGTAGTGGTGTAATGTTCTGGTACATATAGATTATGACAAAATACAAATATCGTTTGAAGTTTTCACAGTTGTAAAGCAGTTAAAGTTGTTAATGGATTTTTATCAGGTAGTAGGCCCTGATAACACATACACATACACATACACATACACATACACATACACATACACATACATACATACATACATGGTTTGTCATATTTGTAGTGGTGTAATGTTCTGGTACATATAGATTATGACAAAATACAAATATCGTTTGAAAATTTCACAGTTGTAAAGCAGTTAAAGTTGTTAATGGATTTTTATCAGGTAGTAGGCCCTGATAAAAAAAGCAAGATAATGTCAGCTACATGATAGGCTTGTCAGTTCCTGCTGAGAAAATATGAATGTGAAAGACAATCTGTTCTGGTAGCAATTACAGCCAAAGGTTTTCACTAAATTTATGAACGTTCTGTTTTTAAAATGCTCAAATAATTGAAGAGGTGAAATTTACTTGAAAAGGTGTTGGCTGACAAACACAACCATGCTGCAACACCATTAGTGAAAACGAGAGTTTTCCACCAGTTATCAGTGAAACATAAAAGTATTTAGTCCTGAAGCATTTAGTAATTTTGATATATTATCAAAATATTAATTACAAGGATAACTTGAATATAAATCTAAAGAAACAATCAAATTCAGCCAAAAATACAGCATCTTAACACGGATTTATCATCAGGTTCATATGAAGTCCATATAAACCTAAAAATGCAAAAGGATCTTGGTTCTTGATCTCTTATGACTAAAGTTATCCTGGGTTATATCTGTGAACTCAAACACACGGCTCATCTTCCCGTGTCACTGTCATCATTAAGAAATCGCAACCCTCTCTGAATCCCAGCAAGGCTCAGTGCTTTGTTTCTGAGCCAAAATGGAGACGTCCTTTGCCACACATCCCCGTTCATTTGTTATGTGTTAAATGTGGATTGCGCTCTGCGCGGGGAGCCCTCCGGAGCCATGCCGGTTCAGCAGCATGTGTGTGTAATCCCTAAGCAACGCTCACTCAGGAGGAGGCAAAACATTTCCATAAAAATGTACCAAACAGTTAGCCGATTGTTCTCAATAAGCAGGTGTTGCCTTTGCTGAGCATGGAGAGGAATGCTTAAGTGGTTTTAGGTAGAGAACATGTTTTGTCTCTCTAATATAGTCTCTCTCACTCTCTTTTTCTCTTTCGTACATGGCAGGATTGTGCCTCCAGAGCAGACTAACTGTTGTTAGCATATATTATGCAGTGGCAATGCAGATTCAGGCATGAATGTGTTACATTGTACCATCGTGCATAACAATGTCACTTTATGTCAGACATTTTCACATCATCCTCTGCTCTTTGTTCCTGCGCAAGCAGTTTATATGACAACAGTGTAAAAATCAGCCCTCGCGGTGTTTGTTGAAGCACACGGCTGTGATTCTTTTGACTAAAAGGTTATATTTGAGTTCCACCAGCACAGTGGTATGTCAAATTGCCTTGGTCTTACTAAAAGATTGAAACAATGTTCAACAGTGATGAGTCTGATATTGCATCTGTCACACACTGTTATATCAGGTCTATTTGTAATGAGCTGGCGGTGCCGTGATCAAACGATACTTGTCAGCACCGCAGTGTCTCAGAAATTATGTGCATGCGTGCACTAAGATGAGGGACTGGTGAAATCATCACAGCATATTAATTTTCGCAGGAATATAAATCTTGAGAATCTATTGCATTGTAGTTCGGTAGTCTGACAAGACTTATTTTAACAAGCTGGGCAGGATCAGTTATTATGTGTTAGTTTCTTTCATTAATAGGTTGAGCTGCAATATAAACATGAAACAAGTATGCATGTATGTATGCATACACACACACATAAACCTATAGTGTGTGTAATTTTGATGGTCATAATGAGGCTAACTTTGGTAAATATTTCATACTGCTCCATTCATCCTCTTGGTATTTAGTTAATTTGGTCACATTATTATATATATATAATGACATTTCAAAGCTTAGAAAGTACTGTGACAATGTTTCGATGAACATTGACCAGTAACATTTGCTGTTAATTTCCCTCATTAAGTTGTTTATGTGTTTCTTCAAGCAGATGTGCTGCTAATACCATTAAATCAACAGGAGTGTTGCTAGTACATCACTAAGAGTATTATCTTCCTCCTGCAATGGATGAAAAAAATTCAACCCTTAAGGAAAAAAGAAATGAAATAAGGAAAATCACCTTCATTTCATTCCAAACCTCAATAAGATTTGAAGATATTTAGAAAAAATGTTTTCGTCTATTCACAGGGTCAAAGTTGTTTGGACCCCATTTACTTTCATTGTATGGACAAAAACTTTTTCTCAAAATATCTTCTTTTGTGAAGAAACAAAGTCTCTTTAACAAACATAAGACGAGTCACGATGAAAGTAATGTAAGTTTAGTTGTTTTATGTGGTGTTATTACTTACACCACTCATCTAAACCATCAGGTCACCTTGGACAAGTGTAGAAAATGACCCGTTTTCTAATTGGAGAGTAATTTGAAATGTATAAACGTGAGGTGCATCTCATCTCCCTTACCTCTGTGTTGTATTTACATGGTATATAATTGTGGCTTTGCCTTGTAGGTGTGGTTTCAAAATCGGCGGTCTAAAGAACGCAGAATGAAGCAGATCAGCGCTCTCGGTGCTCGACGACACGCTTTCTTCAGGGGACCACGCAGGATGAGGTCACTCGGAGGAAGACTAGAGGACCCTGACATAATGGGCCCTGGAGGATACAGCTACTATGGAGGTACATAAACACAAAGAATGTTCTTTTTGTCAAAACACACATTTACACACAATAACATGAGCTGTCTCTCTCACACACACAGCCTGTATCTTCAAGGCTTTCCTCTTACCTTGAAAGCACAAAGACTCTTACAAGCAGTTTCTCTTTGGTATTAAGATGCTAACACAGATTTAACACAGAATCCAAAAACAACGATTATGTCATCAGAGCATAAAACAAGAAATATAAGACAGGCATCCACAGGAGTTCATTGGAGAACTCTGCAGAGAAATCTGATTAACAAGACCATGAAAGCAATAAATTGTGTGCGTTACCTGTTGTGCAACATTCCAGCTTGGTCACTTTGATTGGATTTGCACATGCACACTCCTGGTATGTGACATACTAACAGGTGTTTGGCAGAGATGCGAGCTGTGCTTTCATTTCTGTAATGAGTGAACATAGCAATACAATCAGAATACAGACACCAACCATCCTACAGTTAATCGAAAAAGTGCATATTTCAAATCCCTCAAAAAGCATACATTTCCAGCTTTGAGAGCATGGAAACTGATAGACATACTGATCTCCAGAGGTCTGACGTTGATGATTCAACTATCTATCACTCAGCGAGCAAGTGGCGTTTCTTTATAGTAAAATGTCTTTTGATGATTGATTAGCACATTAAAAAGTATCACAACTGCAGGAAAAAAATTTATGGAATTAAGGAGGAATGTTAATGACTTTCTGTAGCACTAATTATATAGGCCAATCGCAAAGGTATGATGGAGCGAGAGGATGGATATGAGAGTAAAAATGAAGACACATGCCTCTGCACTCTCCTACGATTTCCACATTTATTTATATCCTCTTTCCTCACCTTCCATTAGAGTATTTTCATTCATTAGTATTGTCTTTGTTACATTCTCGTAATACATATTTTTGGTCATAGCCAAACTATTCTGACACATTGTCTTGGAGAATGAGGAAAAACATGAAATTGGGAATCAAATAAAAGTATTACTCATTGTGAGGTAATTAAATGTCATGTACACTGATTTTTCAAAATGGTAAACAAAACAGATTGGAGTATGTTTTACAAGAATATACTCTTTCAGTTTTTCTATTTCTAAAATTTAACATTTAATTCAAGGTGTTGTCAGTTTGTTTTAATTCTTTGTGAAATTGGCTTGCAATCTAACTGCTTCTACACCATTTTTTGAGTGTACATAACCTAAAAAGCACTTTTTCTTTTAAATATCAGAAGCATTACTGATTGCTCTATATTTTTCTCCTCAGAATACCAAGGTGACTACTACGGGCCAGTGGTCAACTACGATTTCTTCCCTCACGGACCCCCTTCCTCACAGGCGCAGTCTCCAGCCGAGTCCCCTTACCTCCTCAGCTCGGGTTCAGGAGCCCTGGAGGGCGGCCCGGTCTCAGCTCACCACCCCTCAGACGACCAAAGGTTCACGGACATGATCTCCCACGCAGATACCCCCAGTCCCGAGCCAGGCATGACCGGACCTCTCCATCCCAATCCACAGGGGGAGGGTGGCTTCACAGGGGGTCCGAGTCCACCCTTCCCCCTGGCCAACAACACCAGTTACAGTGGCCCCATGTCCCATCCTGGTCAAGAGATGGGGGAGAACACTGTTTGGTAGGACAGAGAGATGGGAAAGACTCTGAACTATGGACACAAGAGGGAATTCCACCCTAACTGGTCTGCCTTAGTGCTATAGGTTACTGAGGGAGGGTTTATCGGCTGGTCATGGACCAGAACAAACCAATATTTGGAGCTGAAAGGTGGAAAGACATACGTTTCTACTGTCAAAGGATGTGTATTGTCAGTGGTCATCTTGACCAATCACATTGGTTTGATTCCGTTGATATGGTTTCCCAAGTTCAATATTACGATTGCGACAATAGCGCAGATGTTCGTCCATGGGGTTTTCTACTGCTTTGACTTACTGATTAGTAAAAGCTGTCAAACTGCATTTGATGGTCAGAAGCGAGCTAGTACTTAAAGGTAACACCATTTTCATCCTTTCGTTGGCTTTAGTTTCTTCCTTTTCTGAGATACTGAGACTCAAGTTGTTCAAATTTTTAAAAAAAAGTTATTTTCGGTCTTAAAACTGGTCCATTTGTAACATATTTGGTTCATTCATTAACTGCTGAATTGGTTCATTAAACATTTCAATGAACACTCGGTATACCTGTGTTCTGATGAATCTATGCCTGCCAAAACACACTTTGTGCTAATCAAATATCTGATACGTAATTTGACTTTTAGGTTCACAATCAAAAATTATAACGTTTCAGAGGGGAAAAGTAATTTTTAGTTGAAGTAGAACTGTTAACCCTACTATGGTCAAATTGACCCAAGAGTTTCAATTTACAATCCAACAACTAACCTTAAATAACCAACAAGCGAATTGCATTTTCTAATTTTAGTATACAAGATATCAAGTTCTACACAGAAATGTTGATGTTAAGTTGCTGTAAATCTCTGTTAAAGCTACCAGGATTAAAATGACCCTCATACAGCAAGGAAGGGTTAACTAAACATTAGGTTGACTATGAGACCTAAATGATTTTGGGTTTGAAAACACCTTGGGACAATAAGGCTTAGCATTGAGTGCGTCCTGAAGCTGGATATACATATATACTTTTGGTTGTTTCAGTAAGTAGTTTTTCAGTAATATAGTTTAACAATTCAAATGTTTATATTAAAGTTCCATGACATCACATTCACCATTAGCTTTTGTGACATCACACAAGAGGAAGTCGCCACTTCAAAAGAGGAAAAAATCAGTAACAACTAATGATTTTTTGTATTATCTCTTCAGTATTCACATTTCAAAACAAACATATGCACCTGCAACACATGGAGACATCTGCCTTACCCAAATCACCTCCCATCCCCCATCTTATACATAAAGGCTTTTGCCCACACAGTGATCTGTCATTGAGAAGCTCGCAGAAACGCCTTGACGAGCCTGTGCGTTGTTCAACTTCATTTAACCTTCGCTTTAGTACCTTGCTTTGAAAAAAAATGTTTTAATGGAAATGATTTTCAAAAGAACATTGAAGCCATAATGAAGAATCTCCTTTAACAGCTGAGGTCTCTCTTCTCAATGGGGGGGAAAACAAAAGGACGGGACAGGCAACATCTGTGACTTACCACTGCACCCTGAACAGCCTCCAGACTGAAAGTAAGCGCCATCTTTTGGGGTAGTGAAGAAAAACACTGGACATAGGGAGCATAATTTTGTAAGTATTTAATTAACTAGTTTTGACACTAGAGAGAAATGTAGAAACTGACACTACAGTATTTAGGTTTAAAGGATTCAAGGTAATCAAAATATATAGTATATAAACTGTTACATTTAATTTCTTAAGACATCCCCCATTGTTTGCTAACTGTTAAACCCAATTTTCATGTTAAATCTCAAATTTTGCAAAGCCAAAAAACACTCATAGTACAGGTTCATTGAAACGTCATTGTATTTTACTGTTAATAAAAATAATTTAACAAACGAAAAAAAGAAACTGATCATTTGTTTTGTAAAAAAAAAAAAAAAAAGTTAATTTAATCTGTGCATTTCATAACCACAAAGAAAATCAATCTTTTTTTAATTTTTTTTTTTTTACTTATCTCGGTAAAAGTGATTCAATGTTAAAAGTGACTCAGTACTACAAGCTCTTTCAGCGCAGCATTCAATCAATTAAACAAAAAGCAACAAAAACAATCTTATAGTCCATCAAACAAAAATCACCAGTCACTAAAGAAAACAAACACCAAAATAAAACAAATCACAGAAGTCACTAAACAAACAAAACAAAAACAATCTTAGAGCTGACCAAACAAGACAAATCCAACAAAATCACTAAACAAACCAAAAAAAAACAAACATTCTTAGAGCAAATAATTATAACTAAAGAAACTATCAAACAAATCAACAAAGAAACACCACTAAACAAAACAAAAATAAGATCTTAGCTGTTGATACTGCCATCAGGTGGGGACAACCTGGAACATTGTCCCAGGAATATTTTATTTATTTTTATAAATCCATTAAATAAATTCTTGAAGCCCTTTATGGGTATTTCCAAAGTGAGGATATAATGTATAATTGTTAATATGAATAAGTAATTCAGTCATTCCTGTAAATCCATTCAAACTTATCTGTAAAGTTTTCCTACTCTCTCTTCCATCGGTGTTGACAGCCATCACATTCAAACAACAAACATGCATTTCACATGTATCTGCCTTCACGCCCAACATGTTTTCAAGGTTATGACTCTTATTACTCATGCATTTAGAGACTTGTAGGTCCCCCTCCTTCCCCATCCCTTGTCTCAGTGGGCTCAGGTGGGCCTGCGGAGGACCACGCAGGCCCCAATTTTCCCCCTGACTGGTTTTAACATAAGGGGTAATGTGAGAGGAGCAGGCACAGGTTCTTCCACACCATCTCCTCCCCCAGAGAGAGACTCTGAGCCGGGCTAGATCCTGCATGCAGCCCCTCCTGCCGTGGAGAACGTGGTCTTCAGTGCCACCATACCATTACTGCCTGCCACATCCCTCTATTATTTACTTCTCCTCCTTCTCTCTGTTTTCTCCCTGGAGCCTGCCAGCACCATCTCTCGTTCGGCGAGGTAGAATAGAGGTCTTTATCTCAGGGAGGTGAGGACAAGAAGGCAAGGAGCTCGGGGACTGAAAATGTGTGTGTATACACATACAAACCGGAGCTTCACGGGCACACTTGTACATCTCAGAAAAAATCTTTACACTTTTATTACCCAAATATATCCGATGACTTGGTTCTGCACACACACACACACACACACACAGCAAAGTCCATTATCACAAGAGCCTTTTTGTAATGGATTTCCTTGTTTTGCTTCAGTGAGAGGGAAGAGGAGGTGGTGGAGGGGAGAGAAGCCTTCTGTTGTTGTTATAAATCACCTGCTCGTTCTCTCACACCTCTCTCCCTCCCGTTTCTCCGTCCCATGCTATCACACAATGCCCCCCTCCACCCGGCACACAATCAGCCCCACAGCACAGGAACCCCTAGAAAGTCTCTTTCACTGCAAAGCCTCTCAGCATCCCTCCTCACTTTGGTTTGCTTACTCTATCGCACTCTTCAGCATAGGTTTTATTTTCGTTCTCGTCACCTTTTCTCTTCTCTTTAGAGATTAGTTATATTTGCACATTTTCTTTTTGATTTCAGACTCTTCGAAGGTCAAACATTTAAGCATAATCGTGAACAGTTATATTTGAGCAAACTTTAACAATTAAAAGTTGTTTTTGCTTTAAACAAATCTATCAATCAACTACTGATTGTGAGGGGTTTATTTTCAGATGGAAAATTACATTTAGATTTGTTCTTGTGGATTTTTAGTTCAGCTCAAAATGTCCCAATTGCACATTATAAACCTGGTTGGTAGAACTATTTTAAAGGTTGTTATTACACGGTTTTCTATTCTGTGCATATATTATATACAATAGTGATATTAAATGGTTTTAAAAGTGTCTGGTTACAGTTTATCCATTTCAGCTGTAACTAACTTTAAAGCTGACTGAAAATAAACTACGATGCATTATACTAGTAATTGTATTTCAAATTTTTTCAAATATCTGTAAATATTTAAAATACATTCAAATACTTTATTATTAAATTAATAACTTTTTGTAGAAAAAGAAACAAGAAAAAGATGTAAATTATACATAGTATTAACATTAAATAGTTTAAATTAAATTATTTAATATTATTATATATATTTATTTATTCATATTTAATATATTTTTTAATATTGATGCAAATATAAAATAGCAATATTATAAGGTTTAAATTGGTTTAAATGGCTAGCTACATTTGACCTATTTTAGCTAAATATAACTAATGATGACTGAAAATAAACTGTTTACAAATATTTTGAAAATATTTGAATAAATTACTGTAATACATTAATATAAACATTGTTGAATAAATACCCTTTCCTATAAAAAAACTCAAAAGAACTAGAAAATCTTTTTTCCTCATAAAATGTTAAATTACATGTTCCTTTTTTTTGCAGTTTCTTTCTCTAGAGGTTTTACTGTTTTAAAACATTCTCCTGATGCTTGCCTACGAGAAGATAAACAAAATGAGAGGAGGGGTAGAGAGAAAAAAGTGGGGTGGTGACAGACAGTTTTGCCATCTGTTCTATCAGCCAGGACCATAACACACACACACACACACACACACACACAGAGCAGCTAGTGCACCCACACCACAAATACACAGACGTACACGCAGGTACACACACACACACATACACACACACACACACACACACACACACACACACACACACACACACACACACAGAGCAGCTAGTGCACCCACACCACAAATATACAGACGTACACGCAGGTACACACACACACACATATGCAGAGATATACCTTGCACAATTGGTTTGCAAAAACCATGCACAATTCAAAATGTGTGAAATATACATAGAGGTATCTTTTGTTTGGCTTCCATCTATTTCCTTGAAAACCTATCAAAATATCCCTTTACCAATTCTCTTTTAAGATTAGCAGTTGCACACATATAGTCAATGAAAAACTAAATTCAAAAGATGTGGAAATTGACTAAAATTTGCTAAAATGGATAAAAGCTGGAAGAACAAAGTAGGGTAAGGCAGAAAAAGCCAGCTGGGTGGCTTTTGTTAGAAAACACAAAAGAGGCGGCACATGCACTCTCTGACACACCTTGCTTAGCAAATGATTGGCACCGAAATATCATTCAACCCAGCTGTACAAAATCACTCTGCCTCATCCATGTGTGTATGTTTACACAGCTCACAGCACAGAGAATTCATATTTACACATTCATGTGAAAAAAACTGAGGAGGACATGGAATATACAAGAAAGATATTTATTTACTACAGGAAAATCATGGTTTGAGAAAACTACTCCAGAAAAATATTGCTCAAACACCTAAAATAAGCAAATAAAGTTTAAAGCACTCAAGAT